TAGAGGAAAAAATCCCTGTTCCAAAAGAAGAAAAAGAACCTGAGAGAAGGGAACTATTTGTCAAGGAAGAAGAAAAAATAGAAAAATTAGTAACTGAAGAAGTAGAGAAAGCAGAGGAAAAAATCCCTGTTCCAAAAGAAGAAAAAGAACCTGAGAGAAGGGAACTATTTGTCAAGGAAGAAGAAAAAATAGAAAAATTAGTAACTGAAGAAGTAGAGAAAGCAGAGGAAAAAATCCCTGTTCCAAAAGAAGAAAAAGAACCTGAGAGAAGGGAACTATTTGTCAAGGAAGAAGAAAAAATAGAAAAATTAGTAACTGAAGAAGTAGAGAAAGCAGAGGAAAAAATCCCTGTTCCAAAAGAAGAGAAAAAACCTGAAGAGAAAGAACCAATGTTCAAGGAGGTAGAAGAACCAGAAAAATTAGTAATTGAAGAATTAGAAAAAGCAGAGGAAAAAATTCCTGTTCCAAAAGAAGAAAAAGAACTTGAGAGAAGAGAAACAATGGTCAAGGCTTTCTCTACTTCTTCAATTACTAATTTTTCTATTTTTTCTTCTTCCTTGACCAATGGTTCTCTTCTCTCAGGTTTTTTTTCTTCTTTAGGAACAGGAGTTTTTTCCTCTGCTTTTTCTAATTCTTCAGTTATTAATTTTTCTGGTTTTTCTATTTCCTTAACCATTGGTTCCCTCTCCTCAAGTTTTTTCTCTACTTTTTGAACAGGAATTTTTTCCACTGCTTTCTCTACTTCTTCAGTTACTAATTTTTCTATTTTTTCTTCTTTTCAGTTACTAATTTTTCTATTCTTTCTTCTTCCTTGACCATTGGTTCTCTCTCCTCAGGTTCTTTTTCTTCTTTGGAAGCAGGAATTATATCCTCTGCTTTTTCTATTTTTTCAGTTATTACTTTTTCTACTTCCTGTACCATTGGTTCTCTCTTCTCAGGTTCTTTTTCTTCTTCAGGAATAGGAATTTTTTCTTCAGCTGTTTCTACTTCGTCAGTTATTAATGTTTTTGGTTTTTCTATTTCCATGGCCATTGGTTCTATCTCTTCTTTAGGAACATATATTTTTTCTTCAGCTTTCTGAACTTCTTCAATTTCTAGTTTTTCTATTTTTTCTTCTTCCTTGGCCACTGGTTCTCTTTCCTGAGGTTCTTTCTCTTCTATAGGAACAGATACTTTTTCCTCTGCTTTCTCAACTTCTTCAGTTACTAATTTTTCTATTTTTCCTTCTTCCTTGACTATTGGTTCTCTGTCCTTAGGTTCTTTTTCTTCTTTAAGAACAAGAATTGTTTCTTCTGCCTTTTCTATTTCTTCAGTTATTAATGTTTTTGGTTTTTCTACTTCTTTGGCCATTGGTTCTTTCTCATCTCTAGAAACAAATATTTTTTCCTCTGCTTTCTCAACTTCTTCTGTTTCTACTTTTTCAATTTTTTCTTCTTTCTTGACCTTAGGTTCTTTTTCTTCTTTAGGAAAAGGAATTTTTTCCTCTGGAAGTTGAGAAAGCAGAGGAAGAAATATCTGTTCCTAAAGAAAAGAAAGAACTAATGGCCAAAGAAGTAGACAAACCAAAAACATTAATAACTGAAGAAGTAGAAACAGCAGAAGAAAAAATTCCTGTTCCTAAAGAAGAAAAAGAATCTGAGGAGAAAGAACCAAGGGTCAAGGAAGAAGAAAAAATGGAAAAATTAATAACTGAAGAAGTAGAAAAAGCAGAAGAAAAATTTCCTATTCCTAAAGAAAAAAAAGAACCTGAGGAGAAAGAACCAGTGGCAAAGGAAGCAGAAAAACTAAAAACATTAATAACTGAAGAAATAGAAAAAGCAGAGGAAAAAATTCCTGCTCCTAAAGAAGAAAAAGAACCTGAGGAGAGAGAACCAATGGTCAAGGAAGAAGAAAGAATAGAAAAATTAGTAACTGAAGAAGTTGAGAAAGCAGAGAAAAAAATTCATTTTCTTAAAGAAGAAAAAGAACCTGAGAGGAGAGAACCATTGGTCAAGGAAGAAGAAAAAACTGAAAAATTGGTAACTGAAGAAATAGAAAAGGTAGAAGAAAAAATCCCTGTTCCAAAAGAAGAGAAAAAACATGAAGAGATAGAACCAATTATCAAGGAAGTAGAAAAAGCAGAGGAAAAAATTCCTGTTCCTAAAGAAGAAAAAGAACCTGAGAGAAGGGAACTATTGGTCAAGGAAGAAGAAAAAATAGAAAAATTAGTAACTGAAGAAGTAGAGAAAGTAAAGGAAAAAATTCCTGTTCCAAAAGAAGAGAAGAAACCTGAGGAAAGAGAACCAATGGTCAAGGAAGTAGAAAAAATAGAAAAATTAGTAATTGAAGAAGTTGAGAAAACAGAAGAAAAAATATCTCTTTCTAAAGAAGAGAAAGAACCAATGTCCAAGGAAGTAGAACAACCAAAAACATTAATAACTGAAGAAGTAGAACCAGCAGAGGTAAAAATTCCTGTTGCAAAAGAAGAAAAAGAACCTGAGGAGAGAGAACTAATTGTCACAGAAGTAGAAAAACCAGAAAAATTAATAGCTGAAGAATTAGAAAAAGGAGAGGAAAAAATTACTGTTCCTAAAGAAGAAAAAGAACCTGAGAGAAGAGAACCATTGGTCAAGGAAGAAGAAAAAATAGAAAAATTAGTAACTGAAAAAGTAGAGAAAGTAGAGGAAAAAATTCCTGTTCCTGAAAAAGAAAAAGAACTTGCGGAGAGAGAACCAGTTGTCAAGGAAGTAGAAAAACCAGAAAAATTAATAGCCGATGAAATAGAAGAAGCAGAAGAAAAACTTCTATTTCTTGAAGAAAAAGAACCTGAGGAGAGAGAACCAATGGTCAAGGAAGTAGAAAAAATTGAAAAATTAGTAACTGAAGAAGTTGAGAAAGCAGAGGAAAAAATCCCTGTTCCAAAAGAAGAGAAAAAACCTGAAGAGATAGAACCAATTGTCAAGGAAGTAGAAAAACCAGAAAAATTAATAACTGAAGAATTAGAAAAAGCAGAGGAAAAAATTATTGTTCCAAAAGAAGAAAAAGAACCTGAGGAGAAAGAACCAATGTTCAAGGAGGTAGAAAAACCAGAAAAATTAGTAATTGAAGAATTAGAAAAAGCAGAGGAAAAAAGTCCTGTTCCAAAAGAAGAAAAAGAACCTAAGAGAAGGGAACTATTGGTCAAGGAAGAAGAAAAAATAGAAAAATTAGTAACTGAAGAAGTAGAGAAAGTAGAAGAAAAAACCCCTCTTCCAAAAGAAAAGAAAAAACCTGAGGAGAGAGAACAAATGGTTAAGGAAGTAGAAAAACCAGAAAAATTAATAGCCAAAGAAATAGAAGAACCAGAGCAAAAAGTTCCTTTTCTTAAAGAAAAAGAACCTGAGGAGAGAGAACCAATGGTCAAGGAAGTAGAAAAAATTGAAAAATTAGTAACTGAAGAAGTTGAGAAAGCAGCGGAAAAAATCCCTGTTCCAAAAGAAGAGAAAAAAACTGAAGAGAGAGAACCAATGGTCAAGGAAGCAGAAAAACTGAAAACATTAATAACCAAAGAAGAAGAAAAAGCAGAGGAAAAAATTCCTTTTCCTATAGAAGAAAAAGAACCTGAGGAGAGAGAACCAATGGTCAAGGAAGTAGAAAAAATGGAAAAATTAGTAACTGAAGAGGTTGAGAAAGCAGAGGAAAAAATCCCTGTTCCAAAAGAAGAGAAAAAACCTGAAGAGAGAGAACCAATGGTCAAGGAAGCAGAAAAACTGAAAACATTAATAACCAAAGAAGAAGAAAAAGCAGAAGAAAAATTTCCTATTCCTAAAGAAGAAAAAGAACCTGAGGAGAAAGAACCAGTGGCAAAGGAAGCAGAAAAAATTGAAAAATTAGTAGCTGAAGAATTAGAAAAAGCAGAGGAAAAAATTCCTGTTCCAAAAGAACCTGAGGAGAAAGAACCAATGTTCAAAGAAGTAGAAGAACCAGAAAAATTAATGACTGAAGAAGTGGAGAAAAAAATTACTGTTCCTGAAAAAGAAAAAGAACCCAAGGAGGGAGAACCAATGGTCAAGAAGGTAGAAAAACTAGAAAAATTAATAACTGAAGAAATAGAGAAACTAGAAGATAAAATTCCTATTCCTGAAAAAGAGAAAGCAAGAGAGCTAATGATCAAAGAAGGAGAAGAAATAGAGAAAGCAAAGGAAAAAGTACCTGTTCCTAAAGAAAAGAAAAAACAGGAAGAAAGAGAGCCAATAGTCAAGGAAGTAGAGAAATTAGAGAGAAAAGTACATATACCTAAAGAAGAAAAAGAACTTGAGGAAGTAGAAAAAGCCAAATATGTTGAGAAAGAAGAGAAAAAAGTACTTATTTCTGAACAAGAGAAAGAACCTGAAGAAGTAGAAAGAGCCAAAGAAGTAAAGAAAGAAGAGGAAAAAGTACCATTACCTAAAGAAGAGAAAGAATCTGAAAAAGTAAAGAAAGCAGAGGAAAAAGAACCATTACCTAAAGAAGAGAAAGAATCTGAAAAAGTAAAGAAAGCAGAGGAAAAAGAACCTGAGGAAGTAGAAAAAGCCAAAGAAGTTGAGAAAGAAGATGAAAAATTATTTGTACCTAAACAAGGGAAAGAACCTGAAGAAGCTGAGAAAGTAGAGACGAAAATGCCATTAGCTAAAAAAGAAAAAGAACCTGAAGAGGTAGAAAGAGCCAAAGAAGTTGAGAAGGAAGAGGAAAAAGTACTTGTACCTATGGAAGAATCTGAAGAGGTAGACAGAGTCAAAGAAGATGAGAAAGAAGAAGAAAAAGTACTTGTACCTAAACAAGAGAAAGAACCCGAAGAAATAAAAATATCCAAAGTAGAGAAAGAAGAGGAAATATTACTTGTACCTAAAGAAGAGAGAGAACTTGAAGAAGTAGAGAAAGCAGAGAAAAAAGTACTTGTATGTAAAGAGAAAGAAGAACCTGAAGAAGTAGGGAAAGAAGAGGAAAAAGTTCTTGTACCTAAAGAATGGAAAGAAGCTGAAGAGAGAGAGCCAATGATCAAGGAAATAGTAAAACCAGAAAAAGTATTAACTGTTAGTAAAGAAGAAAAGGACTTTGAAGATGTAGAAAAAGCAGAGGAAAAAATTCCAGTACCCAAAGATGAAAAAGAACCTGAAGAAGTGAAAAGAGCCCAAGAAGTAGAAAAAATACAGGAAAAAAAATTTTTGACTAAAGAAGAGAAAGAACCTAAAGAATTTGAAATAACCAAAGAAGAAGAAAAAGTACTTGTACCTAAACAAGAGAAAGAACCCGAAGAAGTAAAAATAGTCAAAGAAGTAGAGAAAGAAGTGGAAAAATTACTTATACCTAAAGAAGAGGAAGAACCTGAAGAAATAGAAAAAGCCAAAGAAGTAGAGCAAGAAAAGGAAGAAGTACTTGTATCTAAAAAAGAGAAAGACCCAATGATTGGGGAAATGGAAAAACCAGAAGATGTGGTAACTATTAGTAAAGAAGAAAAAGACTTTGAAGAAGTAGAAAAAGCACAGGAAAAGGAACTTGAAAAAACAATACATATTACCGAAGGTAAATATAAACCACAAGAAGTACAGCTTATTGCTTCTGAAGAAAAGGAGTCTGATAAAGATAAAACAAGAGAAGTACAGCTTATTGCTACTGAAGAAAAGGGGTATGAAGAACTAGTAGAAAAGGTACCTATAACAAAGAGAGACATAACACCCATAGCTAAGGAAGAAAAAGAAACCAAAGAAAAATTATCTACAACAGAAAAAAAAGAAAAATCAGAAAAAGTAGAGCCTATTGTTACTGAAGATGAGGAGCTCAAAAAAGTAATTAGTGTTTCTACAGAAATAGAAGAACCTAAAGAAGAACCACCTGTTTCTAAGGGAAAGGAAGAATCTGTAGAAGAGGTATCTTTACTTAGGGAAGAACAAGACTTAACAATTAGTGTTAAAGACAAAAAAGAACCTGGAGGAAGAACACTCTTAGCCGAAGAAGAAATATCTGAAGAATTAAAACCTACTGGTATTAAAGAGGAGAAGCCTGAAAAAGCAACAACTTTTACCAAAGAAATAGAAAAACCTATGGAAGAAAAAGATGTAATAACTAAGGAACATGGAGTACCAGTAGAGAGTGTGTCTTTAGACAAAAAAGAAGATAAACCAAAAGAAGTAGAACCTATTTCATTTGAAGACAAAGAGCCCGAACAAACAATAACTGTGCCTAAAGAAGTACTATCTATTTGTAGAGAAAGTAGGGAATCTATGGAACAAGTATCTGTATCCAAAGATGAAAAAGGTATAACAAGCATTACTAAGGCAGAAAAAGAATGTGAAGAAACAATATCTATAACAAAAGAAGAAAAAGTAGTAGAACCTGTTTCTATAAAAGAGAAAGATCCAAAAAAAGAAATATCTGTAACCAAAGAGGAAGTAGTAGAATCTATTTTTATAGAAGAAAAGGAATCTGAAAAAGAAATACCTGTAACCAAAGAAGAAATAGTAGAACCTATTTCTATAGAAGAGAAGAAAACCAAAAAAGAAATATCTGTAACCAAAGAGGAAATAGCAGAACCTATTTCTATAGAAGAGGAGGAGACCAAAAAAGAAATATCTGTAACCAAAGAGGAAGTAGTAGAATCTATTTTTATAGAAGAAAAGGAATCTGAAAAAGAAATACCTGTAACCAAAGAGGAAATAGTAGAACCTATTTCTATAGAAGAGAAGAAAACCAAAAAAGAAATATCTGTAACCAAAGAAGTCACAGAACCTATTTCTATAGAAGAGGAGGAGACCAAAAAAGAGATATCTGTAACCAAAGAGGAAATAGTAGAACCTATTTCTATAGAAGAGAAGGAGCCTGAAAAAACAATATTTGTAACCAAAGAAGTCACAGAACCTATTTCTATAGAAGAGGAGGAGCCAAGAAAAGCAATATCCATAACTAAAGATGTGGAAAAACCAAAAGTAGTACAACCTGTTTCTAAGGAACCAGAAAAATCTTTAGAAAGAGAATTTGTAGTCAAAGAAGGAAAAGATGGTACAAGTATTACTAAGGACCAAAAAGAATCTGAAGAAAGAATATCCACAACCAAAGAAAAAGGAGTAGTAGAACCTATTTCTGTTGAAGGAGAGGAGTCTGAAAAAGTAATGTTTCTAACCAAAGAATTACAACCTGGTTATAATGTAATGGAAGAACCCACAGAAGGGGTATCTATACCCAAGGAAGAATACTTAACACCTACTGCTAAGGACAAAATAAAACCTGGAGAAAGTATACGTGTTGCCAAAGAAGAAATATCTGAAGAATTAAAACCTACTGGTACTGAAGAGAAGGAGCCTGAAATTTTAACGAAACAAATAAAACCAGATGTTATGAAATCAAGTTTCCATGAAGAAACAATAATTAAATCTCCAGGACACTATTCAAGTGAAGTTGGACATCTGACATCTGTTTGTCATGTTAGAAAGGAGAGTTATCAAACGGATGGAAAAATATTACTGAAAGAATCAATTCAAGCTCTGGAACCTGAAAAGGAGATTTGTGAATCTGATGATCAGTTTGCTGGATTAGATGAAACAGAACAGTTTTCAGTGGTTTCTGATAACGAAAAATTAGGATATCGCATACAACCACCATCAGATAAAGATGCTTCTGATGAGGATCAAAAAATTTCTTTTAAGAGTGAAATATGTGTGAGAACCATTGTTGAAGGAAAGGATGAATATGAGGGTGGTACTTCTCAGAAAATGGATTATGTTTCAGAAGTATGTACAAGTTCAACAAGCGATCCTGTAGAAATGAAAAAAATATCTAAAGATGATAAACTCTATGAGCATAAAGAATTATCTGCTAGTTCGTTGAGTGTTGGCATGATCAAACAATATGATGATTGCATTGTCCAAGCACAGACACTCAAGAAAATGGAACCTAGTACAGAACTTATCACAGATCCAATGAAGTCCATCATCCCTTATCCTGCCGAAACATCTGAGCCGTATACATCAGAGAGGGAGCACTCCATGACTGAAACTTTGGATGCGATTAGTGATGACATTCTACCAGAAGACAGCATACCGTCCATGTCTCTAGAGCATTCTAGAACAGATAGTTTGCTAGAACCTCTTATAGAATCAATGCATAAAAAGAGTGAAGATCCTTCACAAGAAAAAGACTATGCTAGTGATGGAATTATTTGTCATTCGACACCCACAGAAGACATTCAGTTGCAGGTTGAATCCAAATCTAGATCTGCAGTTGAAAAGGACGTTTCACTGCATAGTGAAATGACTTCTTCAGAAAGAGCAGACCAGAATGGTCATACAATAACAAAGCTCCCTTTGGTAGCCTCTTCTTCACCATATCCCATAGAAGACGTAAAATCTTCTAAGGTACCTGAAAGAGTAGTTCCAGAGGTATATGAAACAGCTACAAAAGCCAAACCTTCATCACATATTACTAGTGATAAGTCTAAAGCAATTTGTAAAGAAAAATCATCTGATGCTATTTTGGCTGATGATACACGTTTGAGTTTGAAAGATGACCAAAGTTACAAAGTGGAAAAGGAAAGCAATGATTCCCTCAAACTCCAACAAAAAGTGTGCATTCCTTCTATGGACAATGGTTCCACAGAAGAGAAAGAATTCAAACAGGCAAGCCCGTTACAGGATAAATCTTCAACTGAATCTGCTCTTCTAGCTAGTTCCATGCAGGAAGGTATATCACACACTGAAACTACAACTATCATTCATACACAGTCCCATTCTGAAATACCAAAAGAAGAATTTACATTAGATTCTTGGGACAAACCAATGGGTCTTCCAACTCCGCCCGATCCAGTAGAATTTGCTACTAGGAATAGGACTGTGTCAAGAACATCAGGTAAGAGTTCCACAACTGGCCATAGCCCAAGAACATCAACACCTAAGAAGATTTTAGAAAATGGAAGAAGATCACCAAACGTGTCTTCCAAGACAGCTAATTCTCCTAAAAATGAAAAGGCGGTTGGTATAGGAAAATACAAACTAGAGAACAATGATGTTTTATCTGAACCAGTGTTTTTAGACATGGCTTACGTTCCAAACCATGGTGATCCACAGTACTGTGATGTCGATTTTTTTAAAAAAGTTCGAGCGCGTTATTATGTGTTTAGTGGTACAAATCCGAGTAAGGAAGCATTTAACGCCTTGCTAGAAGCTAAGCAGAGCTGGGACGATAAGGATGCAGAAGTAACTGTTATTCCAACCTATGAAACAGACACATTAGGTTATTGGATGGCCCTCAACCAAGATGTTCTGGCAGCAAACAAAATTGAAGTAGCACCCTCCGCCAGCAGATGTACCATAAGTCTGCAAGATCACGATACTACATGTGCAGCCTATCGGCTAGAATTTTAAACTTTTCCGATACTCGTTGTGTTTGTTTAGTTCCTAAAAGACTAAAGAGGAGCCGTAATATTTGTTTCGTTCGCTTTGTATTTGTAGGAGAAAAAAATAGTATTTTATTTCTGTAACTTTTACGATATATATATATTTGTTTTTATTCTTGGTTTGCTCTAATACGAAAGTACTCATATACAAATAGATTAATTAGAAAACAAAGGCAGCTCAAAAGCTTATTCCATATTGTTAGTTATATATGTTACAGCAGCAGTTTACTGTATATTATTTTTCCTCTGGTTTTCACTAAGTAGGTAGGTATACGTTAAGGGATAGTAACATAATGTTGAGTTAGGTATATCTGCAGTACCAAAGAGAAAGAATTACGTGACTTGAGAATATCATTAAGACCGAATTTTCGACTATAATTTACTAAAAACCTGAAAGCCATGTAGAACTATAGCTCTAAAGAGCTGATGTTATTAACTGGTGACATTTTAAGAGACATAAAATCCATCTGTAGACTTGGCTTTTCATTACACATGCAAATATCTAGAAATGTGACACGTCACTGTTCATCCTGTGCATATAATAAGGAGTCACTAAATATGCAACAAGCTACTCGTACATCTTTATCGCTCTTTTGAACTTTTAATAGAAGTCTCTTTCTTAGCGTCACTGTGATCTTATCATATAAAATAAATCCGTCAACAAATATGAAGACATGTTATCGTAATGTAGCTCTACCTATTGGCACTTTTTGACATTTTTTCTTCTTCAGACAATTCTCTCTCTGTATAGTTAAATTTCCGAGATATTTTGAAAATACAGGTTTCTTGCCTTGTCACGTCCATTATATTAAAGTAGATAGAAAAGTGTAAAATTATCAAAACTACTAATATGTATCTTTATGTATAGCTTATATCTTTCTTCTTCTTATGTGGGTTACAAGCTAAGCGACACAGTCCAGGTAAATAACCGGTTAGAATAGAAGTAACTTTCATAGAACCAATGGCACTACATTAATACTCCGTTTTTTTATTTGTGTTTCTTTCATGATGAAACCGTCTGGAATCGAATTTTTCTTTGAGGCGAAAGAGTTTTCAAATTATGACAGGCAATTTGCTAAGTTCGTAGAACCTAATGGTTAAGTATTCTCCAAAGAACACTTATTGTTTCGTTACATTTCTGTCCAATGCCATTTGACCGCCATAGCAAACGCAGAATTGAGACTGATTCTGAATGTACGTGAAGAAAGTGTAAAAGTACTTTTGATTGGTTTATATTTCGAAATGAAATAAGATCATAGGTTTCTTACCTGGGCTTCCTCCCGGATTCTGAATATCAAAAACCTCTAAGTTCGTCCAGGCAGCGAAGAGCTCCTTGAGGGCAATTTTATATTTATTCTTGTATAAATTGTTGGCATTTTAGGCTTTTAATACGAATAAAATTGTGTTTTACTAATTCTCTAACTGAGCTTGTTACAGATTTATTAGTCATACACTTGTTTGTCAATATATATATATAATTGTTAGTATTTTTCGCCAGCCATATATTTTAGTACTCTCGCCGTTTATGTGTTTTTAGCAAGTTTGCCCTTTGTTCAAGAACTTAACAACTTAATCGTGAAGCACTTAATGAAAAGAGTTTTCCTATTTCACAACTGAATGCAGTTGCTGTAACCTTGTTTGTCAACGTGGTTGTGCAGGAGTAGTAATATTCAGCATATTGCTGGTTCACAAAACTTATGAGATATTTATTATTAAATAAGACACTCTCTTGACTCTCCACTTAGTATATCCTATTTTTGATTTGCCCTGATCATTTAATTCCCATTTTCTCTATTAGAACTAATCTAACCTCTTTGTTGTTAGACATACTGATATTTACATTCTGTCGTTGTTGTTGTTTGTTTGTTTTTTTATCATTCTTTCAGCACGGTGACATGATTTTTGAGAGATAACGTGATGTTACAGATTTCTAAAGCTAGGAAAAGAAATGTAACAAGTATTCTAGTGTCTTTTGTAAATAATAGCTAATGTATAATTTTCTTAAAGAAATATAGGGTTTATTACGGAAAAGCAAATTACAAAATAGTAGTGTTTAGCACTACAGTATTTACTAGAAATTTAACTTTAGCTTTTCTTGGGTAAATAGATTAACTTGATGTGTGTTAATCGGTCAAACTCTAATATATACTCTAGTGCCATGAACTAGTCTTGCTCAACTGACGGTTTTTTATAATTTTCTTTAAATAGAAAACCACATTACTTGAAATATTAAAACCCTAGAAAGTCAGTTGTTGTTTTTTTATTTCAGAGTCATCTGAAATCGCCTCTTAATTGACAATATTCTTAGTTTTACTTCTACAAAAAAAAACTGTATCATGAGGATATTATGTTTATACGGAATTTTCACATACCTATTTGTATTCATAAAGCTACCGTTTTCAAGTTTGTCTCTTTATGGCTTATTCGGAACTTATTTTCTCAAGTTCATTTTACTGCATAATTTTACTTTTAATCAGAAATTACGGTATTTTATATTTAGCAGTATAATCGGATTCTGCACGAATATTGATCCAAATTGATGACATACGGGAAGAAAGAAATGTGCTTTTTCAAAAAGGGTTATGGGCAACAATAGCAATGAAAGAATTAGCCTTACGATATGAAAAAAAAACATCATGTTTGTCTTTGTTAACTACTTGATCAATCAGTTGAGATCATTTTTTTTCAGGTTTGCTTTTAGTTATTTAAATTTTTGTAACAATTTATGAGCATCAGTTGATCTGGAACAAAAAAAAATCGGATATAAATATTTGTCTATTTACATTAAAACTTTATAATTCATAACTATAGAACAATCAACTGAATATTATAGTTCAATATCTAACAACCAAAACGGTGGTGTATTAGAAACTTTTTGTGCTGCAAACAGTAAATATGGCTTCCTAACTTCCTTCTCGTTGTATTTTCGGATGAAAATTATAGAGACATTGGCTCAGTGTTTTTTATTTAGTAATCCATGTTTTATTTTGACATTTAAATAACACATTAATCGGTAGAATCAAAATAAAACTTAGCTAATTGCACGCAATGAGTAATTTTTCATAACGCCTTTACTATGTAAAAATCACTCGTAGACAAAAAAGGGGTGAGGGGAGCTTATCATTAATAGGCTTCTAAAGATTAAAGTAAGTTGCTTTTGTGAAATACATTTCTTTAAAATCCTAACGTGCAAGCAGTCTACGAAGACAATCACACTTTCAAGCCTCACCCTTATATATCTAATATCCTCATGCAGTGTCCTTCTATTTGTAGAGATCCATCAGAGTAAATGTGTATGTAGAAAAACCTAGCAAACAGGACGTTCCTCGTCTGCTAGTGCTGTCGAGCTCATCTTTTACATCTTAGTCAATACGTCACGACATTCCAAGATTTATATCCGCTTTGAAGTTAGTTTACATTTAACGGAAGATGCGACCAAACTTTAATTTAATTTTTTTGATAAAAGCATACAGGGCATCCCAATTGGCGTAATATATCGTATTTTTATGTTAATAGTTAGGGAGTTTAAGTAGATGGTGCTACCTACGATTGACCTCGAGTGTATTCGTGACACGAGTAAAAGTTATTTTATTTTATTTTAGAGAATATATACATATACTCTTAAATCCAACTTGAATGTAAGAATATCTGATGCTAGGCCTTTGTATGACTGCAAACTTATATGAAAGTGAACGTTTGTGGAACATCAGTGATTAATACTGTGTTAGTATTCATAAAGTTTTATGTTTATCTGTGCTTAATGCTGATGAAACAAAAGTTTCTGTGATGCGCTAAACATATTGCAATTATGTTATTGTGTAACTTGTTTAATTAAGCCTGTGTTGTTGCACAGCGCTATGTTGCTATGGTTACTGTAAGGCTCAAACGTGTTAATAAATTATGCTTTTTAAAGTCATGTGATTGCTGATTTTAAATATAACTTTTTAATATAATCTATACTGGAGCATTTGGAACCGAAATAAATGTTTACCATTATTTATAGATTATAAAATTTCAAACATAACTATAAAGTTTTGGCTAATATTTTTTTTCAAAGTTGTAGTAGCTTCGTGGGGGTTCTGGAGGAAACAAGAGAATATTTTCTTTGAAACATTGTTTCATAGCATTTGAATAGATAAAAACGATAAAAATATAAACTGATGAACATGTTTTATTTTGAGAACACCCAAATTAAACACTTAAGACCCAAAAATTATATCAATTAACTTATAATTTTGCATTCTTTCTCAAAGTATTGTTGTAACGGCTTCTAAGCTTGTATGGGTTATTTTGTATTCGGTAAAAATAAAAATGTAAATTGAAGTCCATTTAATGGTAACGAGATTGTTTTAATTCTTCAACTACAAGTCAACTTCGTTGATGTTCACTGATAGGCCTAGGTTTACAGTAGAAGTTAATACAGAAATTTCTCGCGCTCTACAAAATGCACGGCGCATCTCTTATTACTTCATTGAGAAACAAAGTTAATATTCCAAAGCTAAACTAAGGGCGTGTCCTCCATTGGAGAACTCTGTCCCTCCCTTTAGAAGCTCCCATCTGAAATTCTGAAACAAGATTCTTAGATTATCGACAGTGTGACTCCCACTGACATGAAAGTGATGATTTTTCTGCCCTCAAACTACCCCTTATACCCACAAATAAAAAACCTTCGAAATGTTCTAAAACTACTTAACAAATTCAATCAAATGATAATTCATTAATTTAATAACAGATTCAATAGTTAATAATTATCTACTATAGCCTAATAGTCATCATCACCAAGATGTATTTATTCCCAGTGTTGTTTTGTGGTTGAGGACCAAACGTATTAACAGCAATTCTCTCCAACACAGTACTGTTTTAGTTTTCCAAGGTTGTTTCATTAATTAATATTTTTTGCTTAGAACATAGTTGACATGATTTACACTAATTTTCTACAGGTTTCTGGTGTTCAATGCAGTAGAAGCATTTTCCTATCTTCGCTGGTGTCTTCTAAACACCTTAGTGTTCAGCTATTGGAAAGTTGTGTAAGTAATGAAGTTTTTCTGATTGTAACTGTGGACATTTATGGTCATTATTATCTTCCCAATGTTGACATAATAAGACTCCTCATAGGCATAACAAAAACTTTCAAATTTGGGCTATATTGAGGCACTGTTTGCCATGAGGTCATTCTGTACCATTTCTGTTCCATTGATAAGAGGCATAATTATCGTATCTTTTGTCTGAGATTCTTTCAGTTTAGTGTTGGACCACATCAATTCTTCATCATCTGTGGATGTTTCACCTTGGTTTAATATTAGGTTGGTTATCTTTGTTATTTTGTGCTTCCTTATTTTCAATGTTGTCTCCGGTGGGGCAGTGGTAAGTTTACGGACTTACATCGCTAAAATCCGGGGATAGATTCTCCGCAGTGGACACAGCAGATAGACCAATGTGGCTTTGCTCTAAAACAAGCAAAGTTTCAGTGTTTTCAATCTTTGACAACACAATAATGATCCATAAGCATTTCCAAGGTTCCCTCCTGGACAATATGCAATGTAATGTTGAAGTTGCACTACTGAATTTTTTGGGACCACCTTTCTATCTGGCCTTTTGGATTGTGGAAATTAATGAGCCATTTCAATGTTACATGAACTGCCTGTATTGTAAACCTTTACCCAAATGGGTGGTGATAAACTGACTCAGGACTCGATCAGTACTAAATAGTTCTTTTCAAGTTGTACAATACCCCCTTTCCGAAGAATTCATTCCATTGCTATAAGTAGGTGCTTATATGTTCTTTCCATGTTGCACTTGAAATAGCACTGCTTAGTCACTGGCATTGTGTCTAATATGGATGGATCTTTAAAATCTGGATGTGCTAATACAGGAGTACTGACTTGTTCTTTTTATAAGTTTTTTGAATGCTTATTCACAATCAGAAGTCTAAAAAGTATAATTTTTCTATTAGTTTGTGTAAAGGACAAACTATGTCAAAGAGAGATTTTACAAATTGATGACAGTACGATCCAAGACATCCTCTTACCACAAACAAGTTGGCCAATTAAAAAAAAAATCAGTCTTTGATCATATGTATTACCAAATTCATCTGTTTATGGAAAAATTTACTATTTTGGGGATTAAGCTTTGTTTATCTTTACTTAACTGATTCAGTATTTTACTTAACCCATCACAAGCATCATTGAAGATATTCCCATGTGCGACTACATCATCTATATAGATGAGAACGACATTCCATGGCACCAGAGAGTGCATATTCCATTGGTCATTCAAACGTGTCATTTGAATTGCATAACTCCAATGTTAGCGCAATAAACTGTCACAGCCCATTATCTACTTTAGAGGCTGTCTTTTATCGACTTGCTTCGTTCACTTGCACTGGACTCTTCAAATCGATGGTGATATCCATTTTCACTCAGATAAGGCATTCAAAGTCGAGTGAATCCTTAAATGGAATTCTGATTTTTTAATATTTAAGGTAATCAAATGGTGGAACAACTAAGAAATGTATTATTGTTGTTGTTTCACCAGAAAAGAAATACCTGTATACAAACTTCTACATGTGGAAAGGAAATGATTTACTAATTTATCATAAATTTCCGACGTCACAAATGCCATCATAACAAGTTTCTGCAAAGTACAGTAAGGTCAAACTTTAGACCATATATCTTGACAGATTATCCACTGACATTTTATTGTTTGTGAACGTCGACTTCCAAGATCAGATAAAATATACAAAACCCCATTGGAGTTGTAACGAGGGACTTGACAATAAGTTCCCTAGTGGGTCAGTGATAAGTTTATGGATGTACAACAATAAAATCCGGAGTTATAGAAGGAGCACAGGTGTATCTTTGTGCTGAAACAAGCAAACCGAATTTGACAAAAAACGTGTCTGGAAGCTTGTGAACTGTTTGGTTGTGAATCATTGTCAGATTCGATTATTTGGTAATATTATCTTGTTAACGACAAATGGAGATATGACCAGCTTCATCGCATTGAATGTTTTTGTCGGGGGAGGGAAGTTTGGTACACTTCCACAGAGAACTTCAAACATTTTTCTGTTCGAAATGTTCTGTCCTTTGATTTTTTGCTGTATGAATAATACTCTTTGGATAGGATTCTGACACAGTTATCCAGTTACAAGTACATATGCGGTGGCTTTACACTATCGAATTAAAGAGGACTTGCTATTCTAAATATGGCGCCCAAGGATTGGATCTGCAAAGACACGTCACTGTAATAGCACATACAAGTCGTTCAAATGAAATCCGTCTGTAGTAGAGCTTGTTTGTAATATTTCAAGGTTTATATGATAACTTTATGAACAAATTTTCAAGACGTTTTTGTCATAATTTCGTTCATTTCAGTCGTCTGTGCAGTGGGGTAACTACAAAAAATACCCCCCCCCCCAATATAAAGTAATCCCCACTCAAATTTATTTCCTTTTAATGGTAGTTAAGGTTCTGGTGGATTCGGGCCCCTATTGGCTCGCCCCTCCACTCCGCAATCGCGGGGGCATACTTACGCCAATACTTCTGTGCATACTATTCACTCAATTTCCTCCCAAGCTATCGATAATGCTTTCAATGTTACATGGCCTTGGCGGCTGTTTTGTAATGCTAGAAATTTTTGTTCTGAAGATGAGTCTTTGAAAATTACTAGAAGTTCTTCTAAGTTTGATCTAAAACTACATAATAATTACTGAAAATATATATTCACACACACACTTTTGACTTTGGATATCCAACATTATTTAACAATAACAATGGAAGAAGAAAAAAACAGTACCAGAACTATAGAATAAATTTAGCAGAGGATGCTTCTGATTTAACTGAAAGTTGGTTCTGTGTTGACAAAAACAAACCGATTCACACTTTTTAAAATATAACGTATACACTGAGTAAAACGTACTGTTTACCAACTCTTCCTCTTCT